CTATGCTGTCATTTGGTTTTACATAGTCCTTTAGTACGTTCTTCCAGACAATCACATTGGTCTTGAGACCCAATTGATGGCTAATGCCCGGCTGCAGCATTACATGCTTGGATGAGCTGTCATTTGGCTATTGCTGCCTCAATAGTGAGATAGGCCAGCAATTATCATTATTTGCCTGCCACACTGGCCGATAACCCTGGTAGCCAGTCACATTAGTTACTTGGCTTAACTGCCAGTTAAACTGTTGTTATCACTGTGATAGGTTCACAATGAACCTGGGGGCCCGTCTACTAAAGAGATAATTGTTAGGATTAATTGTTAGCTAGGTTTAGGACTTGTTAAGGTTAGTAAGAGTTAGGGTGAGTCAGGGATAGCTATGACTAGTTATTTTGAGAATTAGGTTAGTGTTAAGGCTAGCCAAGTTTAGAAATAGCATTATACTTTGACACTGCTCAGTATGGTGACAAAGATAGTCATTTTATCAAACACCAAGAGATGAGAAGCAAGCAAAGAGGCATGCCAAAATTAGGACACATCTCTCCTTATAAATTCTATAAAAACAGGGCATTGGTATACATGTTGTTGCTGTCCTCGAGAGATGCCACAGACAACAAGTATAATGCTGTACAGGGTACAGTCGCAGAACACAAATCTGAGGTCTTTACAGAGGTAGGCATGGTCTGCAAAATCCCCTTGAAAAAACAAAATATGAAACATAACAAGCTCATATGGCAGAGGTTGTTGAAAAATGACTAAATAAAAAGTGTCAAAATGCTCTTAAAGAAAGGTGTCTAAGTTCTATAAATATGCACTTTTGTATAATGGTTTTCCTTTACGTGACTGCTATTAATGTTATAGTCCCCTCAGGTCATGTTTTAGAAAGGTTTAGCTTATACTGCACTATATTGAATAAGTATTTTTTTGCCTTATAAATACGTCTTGTAAATAATAAATAGCTTTAGGGTTTTTCTATTAAATACATTTACATTTATAACATCTTATTCAAAAAAACATCTTGGAAGAAAAATGTGCTGTTTAATTAAAAATTATTTACATGAGCGTACTGAAAAAAAAAACACTTTAAATTAATAGAAATAAAAAATACAATGTAAAGTTTAGTATCAACAAAATACATTTATGACACCAATTGTTTTTCTGTGTTCTTCTGTCCCTTTCCGGAAGGGTATTAAGTGCTAACCAAGTAAGATTTGGGTGATAGAACACAGAAACACAAAACATAGCACATAAATCGTGGTCTCTTAAAACCACAATGCATCCTTTGCAATATTTGTCCTGTAACTTCTATAAAATAAAATCCAGGGAATATGGGGCATTTTAATAAGCTAGAATAAAAAGTGAATCTATTTTGAGCTATTCTTTTTAGTTGCACTAGTTGTGTAGAAACAGTTATAAGTAAAACTATAAAAAAAGTGATTGCTTTTTCTCATTTTGTATTATGTTATTCATACTTCAGGGTTATATATTAAAGTGAGAAGTGTAAGGCATTCAAAGTGAATTTTATATGTGAGGCCAGATTAGCAGAATTGGAAAATGTTTAAAGTCAACTATGCTTCTAGCTCAGCTATTGTGGTCTGACATGTGAAATTAATTTTGAATTAACTTTGAATACCTGCCAATTCCTAATGTAGTAAATAACCATGACAATGTTGTGCAATGCATATATACAGGGCATCTGAAGAAAGCTCTATGTGTGCTAGCTTAAAAAACTGCAGTCTACTGAGAAACACCCTAGTGGTCAAGTCTTGAGCAATACGTTCATAGGACACCAGGCCATGCAGATCATACATTGTGACCAGCTAGCAAAGGCAAGCACAATTCCTGCCTCACTCCTGCAGTTCAGTGTCAACAGACATACCAGCATACGGTATCCATTATTTCAATCCACAGAAGAATGTTGTAAGTCTTTACCCAGAACTGCTGCATGCTAGTGGCCTGGGGACTATCTAATCCTTGCCCCACTTACCAGTCTTCCCCTAGTCCCTCACAACATAATTCTTGTTTTTTTTTCCAATCTTATTAGGTGATATGGTAAGTGTTACCCTGTGTAAATATTGCCATTGAGAGTAAATTACCTGATAAATATAGCTTGTCAAAAATTTCTTACTCTCAAATATAATGTTTCATGTTATTTTCTATTATGTTCCTGCATTATGCCCATTAAAAAAATAAATGCATATTTCTAAAAAAAATTAAAATCTGTGCTTATATTTTTATTTTCACATGATGAGTCACTGGAAGCTTGTATACCAAAAGGGAATATAACATATTCCTTAATAAACAAGACAAGCACATGAGGGTCTATAAAAGAGTAAAATAAATGCAATTATCGTGTGATTTTTAGTCCAAATGGACCACAAGTTGAACGACTACAAAGAACGACACTCCAACGTTTAAGAATCTTTGGGAATTCAAGTCTGCTTTATGCTATCCCTGAAGAAACAGAAATTGTACAGAACAGAATGCTAAAACCATATTGTATTATCAGAGGGGAAAGAGACACTTATTCCAAATAAACATTTAGTGCTGTCATTCAGGTGTCATACAAAATGGCCCTAATGTAGAGATAAGTGTCTGTTTTTTGCCTTTGATGACAGTACAAGTTGATAGACCCTGTCCTAGAGACTTGGATGCCAAACACATTTAGGGGAATTCTGAAATAACACTTTAAACTTTATAAAAATAGTGTTAGAGAATGTTGCTGTAGCCATAAGATTTGATTGGTTCAATGGTCAGTGTTCTGAAACAAATTATTATTGTTATTATTATTTGTATTTATATAATGCCAACTTATCTTGCAGCACTTTACAATATTATAAAAGGGATAAATTTAACAATAAATGAGACAATTACAAAATGTTACAGAAACAATAGGTTATTGAGGACCCTGCTCAAATGAGCTTACAGTCTAGAGCAGTGGTCTTCAACCAGTGGTCCGCGGACCAGCGCCGGTCCGCAAGAATTTATAGCGGAATAGTCGGGTGAAAGCGTTCTCAGAACGGCAATAAATTGCCGCAAAATATTTCCCCAGTGCTATGATCATATGATCATAGCACTGGGAACTGTGCCTCCCTCTCCAACCCGCTAGCACTGTATTGCTGGCAGCCTTCAGGGGAGGGAGGGAAAGAGGACCTGGGGGAGCTCTAACCTGCAGCTCTGCCGGGTTTCTTCTCTTGTGAGCTCGGAGCATTGCCGCGGTTACCCCAGCAAAGCTCTGAATATAGCGAGGGTGAACACAAGCCTAAGCTGCTAGAGTTTACTCTCACCACTTGGTCCACCAGGGTATGCCTTGTACTTAATTAAAATATTTTTTATATTAATCTACACTCCATACACAAACTGCCTCCTATACACACGCACTGTACCCCTCACACACACTGTACCCCTCAGACACACACAGCACCGCTCACACACACACAGCACCCCTCAAACACACACTGCATCCCTCACACATACCATTGGTTTTTATTTCTGGCTGACGCCAGTCCGCTGAATATTTCTCCTCTTTTCGCTGGGCCACGGGTGTTAAAAGGTTGCATAACACTGGTCTAGATGAGGTGGAGTATAAAAACATAAGGTCACTGAGTGGGACGGCAACCAAACAAGGTGAAAAGTAGCAGAACTGGAGGTGAGAGAAGAGCAGGAGTAGGCAACCTGTGATATCCTGTAGCGTGCTGTGATGTCCCATAGCGTGCCGGTCCTATTTTTTTAAATTGAGGTGTGTATGCTGCCGTATTCTTCTTGTGTTATTTATACTGCAGTTGCTTTGTATCGTTGTATTATATGAGCTATTATATTGTATATGTTCATTAGTAGTTTATGGTATCGTGTATGATACATATGAATGTGGGCTATGTATGAGGGCTGCTTGTGGAATTGTGTGTGTGAATGGATATGTCACATTGTGTGTTTGGTAGTGTGTGGGGCTGTTTGAGATGTTGCATGTGAGAGGCTGCATGTGGGGTTGTGTGCGTGTATGTGGATTGTTAGTGGTGTTAAGTTTGTGTGGATTGTGTGTATGTTTGTTTGTGGGCTGTTCGTATTATTTGAATGAGGGAAGGGTTATTCTGCAGCTCGGTATATATCTAGCAGTGTGAGTGGCTTACCTGGGTTCCAGTGGGGACCATGCTGGCCAGGTACAGCTTAAGGACAGGAGCTGCAACAGCAGCTGTGGACTGTTCTACTACACTGTGGATTCCCATTCACAAGTGCTGGGAGGAAGTGATCTGAGATCACTTCCTCTACATGCTGCAATGCATACATTGAGGATTGTCCTTCACCACCTCTTCGTATTAGCAGATATCTGAAGTTTTACTGGGACTCCTGATAGGCCAGAGCCTGTTTGGCTCTAGCAGCCTTGAGTGTCGTGCAAAGACACCTTGAGTGCCGTGCATTGCACTAGTGCTGTAAGTTGCCTACCCCTGGAGTAGAGTGTGATCTTTCAGGAGAGAGCAAGAGATAGGTTTGCAAAATAGAAGTTACTCTGGGAGGCCACAAGCTTTTCTGAGGGTTTTGAGGGACTTCTTAAATGATTGAAGACTATAGGACAGTCTGTAAGGGGTAGGCAGGCTGTTCCAAAAGAAAGGAGGTAGCCATGAGTCCTGAAAGTGCAGATTAGCAATAAGGGTGCGAGCAGCGGCCAGGAGAAGATCACCTGCAGAGCAGAGACCAAGAAGAGGCTTACCTACAAATCAGTGAAGAAATATAATAAGGGCTAGAGTTGTTTAGAGCTTTATAGGTATTTATTAGTATTTTAAATTGACACCTATTGGATAGCCAGTGTAAGGATTGACAGAGGGGCAAGGTGTGAGAGGAGCAACAAGAGAGAAAAATCAGGGGGAGTGGCCTGGCTACTGACCAAAATGGCAACAAAATATTATAGCTCTTGTAAGATCTGGGATAAATTACACAGAAAGGCATATTTTATGGTTTCACACATTCCCAATCAAGCACACATTGAAGAAAAAAGTGCTAAAATTGCAATGGGATCGAAATCTAAGAAAATATCCGTGCCACTCCGCAGCCGTGTAATGGAGGGAGCAGCTTTGCTGTCCCCTCAGTTGGCATCAAGTTCTAGTGCTCCAGACTCAGATGATGTCTCTAGATCCATGGACAACTCTGTGCCTACATTGGAGGAGATGATTTCCTCCATTTACAAGAACCTCTTTGGTGAAGAGCCGGAACAAGAAGTTATTGGTCATTGTGCCACAGTTGCGGTACGAGGGAATCCAGAGCCGCAAATTGATGTTAGACTCCGAATACTCATGACATCCAAGAGTTCGGGGTTGCGAAAAGAGGTAGAACCTTGTATGCCTGTGGCCCAAAGGGATTCAGGTTCGAGAGGAGCATTTCGGCCGAACAGTCGCGGCCCTTGAGGTTTCACACCCATGATCGGAGCCTCCCATAACACCGTCCTGCTGGAGCAAATGTTTCAATCACTCAGGAAATCAATTAAGGCTGCCATTCTGCAGGAGGTAGTGCTGTTCATCAGGAGTTGATTGCATAGGAGAGGCGCATCTCACATAGAGAACGTGCAAATTTAGACCGGATTACTAAAGTCCCTGAATTGCGGTCAGAACACTGAATTCACAGGTTCAGGTCTTGACTACAAGAAACTGAGAATTGGAGGATAGGCACCAAATTAATAATGTGCGAATTAGAGGTATACCAGAATAGGTTAGGCCGAATGGGCGGTTTGCTTATGTTAGAAATATGGTGCATTTGGTTTTGCCTCAATTAACAGAAATGGAACTTACACTTGAAAAATGTTTTAGTTTTTTTTAAGCCTGATACAATCTCAGCAGATGTCCCAATAGATGTTTTGGCTAGATTTAATTTTCTGCACGTTTAAAAACAGTTTATGGCTAAATTTTGTGAGAAAGATGCGGTGGCCCATGAATATCAGGCTTTTTATGTGTTTCGGGATTTGTCACCTTTTGAAGAAAAGATGGGAATTCCATGTTGTTGCAATAGAGTTGAGGGACAATGGTGTAATATATAGATGTGGGGTTCCAAGTCAAAATTGTATTTTGTCATAATGGAAAAACTATAGTTTGGAACACTCCGGAGGAAAGACAGAAATTGTTGGATGAATGTAAGATGCAAAAGGTGGTGGTTTTACACATGCAAAAGAAAACAAAGAAAAAGACTTGAACTTTTCTCTTTTTTAAGGCAAACGATTTCAGGATCTTTTTCAAATACTGAGACTCTATTTTCCATATTCTTTTTTAATTTCTTGAAGCACATTGGTTTTTCAGAACATGGCACTTTTAAGCTTTAGTTTATTAAAGGACCACTCTTGGCACCCAGACCACTTCAGCTTAATGAGGTGGTCTGGGTGCCTGGTCCAACTAGGGTTAACCCATTTTTTCATAAACATAGCAGTTTCAGAGAAACTGCTATGTTTATGAATGGGTTAAGCCTTCCCCTATTTCCTCTAGTGGCTGTCTCATTGACAGCCGCTAGAGGCGCTTGCGTGTTTGAGCACGCCAGCGTCCATAGGAAAGCATTATGAATGCTTTCCTATGTGACCGGCTGAATGCACGCGCAGCTCTTGCCGCGCGTGTGCATTCAGCCGACGGGGAGGAGAGGAGGAGGATCGGAGGAGGAGAGCTCTCCGCCCAGCACTGGAAAAAGGTAAGTTTTAACCCCTTTCCCCCTTCCAGAGCCGGGCGGGAGGGGGTCCCTGAGGGTGGGGGCACCCTCAAGGCACTATAGTGCCAGGAAAACGAGTATGTTTTCCTGGCACTATAGTGGTCCTTTAATGTATTTACTTACTTAGTTTTTTTTTTCCAAGACAATATGTTACTGTGGATATGGTTACTGCTTAAAGTAGTCACCATTAAAATTATTGGGAATTTGGCGATGTGTCGGTTTGAAATGTAAGGCTTTTTTTGCCTCATATATTTGTATTTTATTGCAAATAAGAAAGGAATAAGGTTAAAAGGTTAAGAGCAAAGTGCTACAATCACCTATATGAGTCACTTATTCACTTAAAATTAAACAATACAGTAAAGCAAAATGTGAATGGTGAGAGCACTCTAATAGACATTGCACATTACCCTTTTTTGCACACTTCAAACAATGAACGCTTTAAACACTCCTGTAAATTTAAAACAAGGAAAAATGCAGCATAGGGTAATAACGTAATAACTTGGTGTAACTTAAGATAGTAATTGGTTACACTCACATGTTCATGTGTAAGCATGAACTAATGAGAGAGGAAAAGTAGAACTGTTTAGCAAAGGTGAGGGCTGCACTGCACAAATGCAAGATAAATTTATAATGGAGAAAGTCTGACAAGGTGCTAAATATCCTCCAGCAGCATTCAGCTGAACAGGAGCATCTCTGCAGGTATTGTTTTTTTTTTTTAAAGGATCACTATAGTGTCAGGAAAACAAACCCGTTTTCCTGACACTCTGTCACCCTTGGGGGACCCTCACCCTCAGGGTCCCCCTCCCGTGGCGCTGAAGGGGTTAAATCCCCTTCAGCAGCTTACCTTAATCCAGCGCCGGGCTCCCTTGGCACTGGTGACCTCTCCTCCCCCGCCGACGTCAGCTCCCGAGTGGAGCAGAATGTGCATGTGCGTCAAGAGCCGCGCGTGCATTCTAACAGTCCATAGGAAAGCATTTCTTAATGGACGTTTCTATGGACGAATTTCAGAAGCGCCTCTAGCGGCTGTCAGGAAGACAGCCACTAGAGGTTGGATTAAACCTGGGGGACCTGGCACCCAGATGACTTCATTGAGCTGAAGTGGTCTGGGTGACTATAGTGTCCCTTTAAGCTGTTAAATATTATACAGTAATGAGTAGACTAGGGCAATGTGCATTGAATAAAAATTGGTATTGTCTATAACATGTGTTCTTCATGAGAAACTTTGTTTTCTTTTACATTTAAATTAATGCACCACATGGGAGAACTTTCTTCCATTGTGAACTTATTTGACACTGTATCCTTGTATCCCCACACCATTCTTGTACATACTTCTTTTTATTATATTTTTCTCTTTTTATTTCATGAAACTTGGAATATATAGATTGTGACTTCACTATTGCTGGTCTAGAAAACATAAACAATGGGCTCCTGGTTTGACTGATATCCTTGTTTCTTTATCATTGTACCATTGTGACTACTGCATTACTGTGCACCACTAAGTGACTGTTAATTTGGTTTGTCTTCTAATGTTTATCACATTAAAAATTTTTATAAAAACTATTTTCAAGAAACTAAGAATAATATTAAAGATTTAGCAAAAACCATCATAACCTAGTTCAGACAAAGTCAGGGCATACACTGCAAATGAACATATTTATTTCAATCCTACTTTTGCACAGTTTCTCTATATTTACTGTCAGGTTCATAGGACAAAGGACATATAATAATGATTAGTAGGGAGCTAAGAGAAGGAGGCAAGCAGTTGCAAGAAAAAGAGGTATGGATTTCTACATCTAATTAAAATTTTCACACCTCATGTATTTCTTTGCTAAATACAGGAATAAGTTAAAAATATTATTAATTATCATAGAAATACTGCCCCCCTGAAAGCTTTCCTACTTGCTTGCTAAAAAATACTAATACTAAAATAGTTCACTGGGAAGGGTATTAAGTTTTCATGTACATAATCTGGTCTAAATAATATTACCCTTACAAAAATATTACAGTAGTACTCATCAGCCTTGCAAGTATATGTTAATGCCCAAGGAGATCATACATTCAACTTTTTCCAATATTACAGAGACCCTCTAAACACCAAAACAAGTTTATCTTAACAAATCAGGTTTGGTGTATAGATCATTTTCCTGAAGTCTCGCTGTTTAACTATCTGCCACTTAGGAGAACAATTACTGGCTGTGACTCTCACAGTCTCTTTTTTTAATTTCAATCAGCACAGAGTGTTTACTTAGAAGTTTTTATCTCCTATTCTGTTAATTAAAGTTTAGTCATGCCCTGGAGGCTGCTTCAGACTCTACTGTCAATTAGCAGAGCAAGATATAAGAAATTCTAGATTATTATTATTATTCTAGAAGTCATTCTAAATGAAACACTCCATGCAATAAGGATAGCTACAATCTTTAGACTTCTTTTTCAAGAAATGTGTAGGGAGGCTGTGAAGGTTTGAGTAGGGCTGCATAAACTAATTGATTTAACTCATAAATGGCAGAAAATGGAGTAGTGATGCTGTATTTATTTCGTTTTGGTCACTGGAGTGTCCCTTTAAGAACTGTGATATTTCATAAGAGGTTTTATATATCACTAAGAAATGTAAATATACCAAAGCAAAAAGACAAACGCAATCTTTATCTTTCAGAGAAATACAACATTTGCTTATTATTATTTTTTCTTTCAACACACTTTACGTGAACTATCCATTGATGAAGCTTCTATGACAGTTTTTAAGTAATTTCGGAAAACAATGAAGCATACAATCCTCAGTGGCACTTGGGAGAGCAGCCAAATTTTATGTAAGGGGAAATGGGGCTACCAACGTGAAGGCTATATGAAGGAGGTCTGGCAAAGCAGTATAACCCTCTCCTCTGTGTGATTCATTTTATTATTAACCATGGCAGCTGTACACAGCAGATGTACAGAGTCTGTGTTCTCCCAGCCAGAAGTCCACATTACTTATATAAATAATCTTTCGTTGTACAACTGAAATTATTTCAATAAGAATTTGTTCCCATTTGGGTGTCAATCACATAAGTGATCGCTGCAGATCAAGCTATGTGTTATTCATATCCTAGTTTTATAATGAAAGAAAAATGTAATGGTAATAATTAATGTAAGATGTCATATATCAGTAGACTGAGCCTTGATCATGAATATAGAGTCAATATTACTCTAAATGAAAATAAAAAGGCATTAACCTCAATGTCAATACATGTACTGCATAAAAACTAAAATAATTTAAAATTTTAAATATGTTGCACAGTATCAGTAAGTTTAACTGTTATACTTAGTAATACTTAGTATTAATTAAAATAAACCTGCAGTATATCCTAATTGACAGCAAAATGACTAAATAGCATTAGTAAACTCAAAAATGAATAATGGTTATTTACTCAAGATTGGATTTCTTACAGATGGACAAAATCCTGTGAAAATGACTGCCATCTGACCGAAATGGCAATTATATTTACTAAAGCCAAATACGTTCAGAATTTAGTCACCTCGAGCGAATCCGCAGCAATCATCCGCATACATTCTGTGTCCAGATTATAATCAGTGCTTTCCCATCTGAATCCTATACAAAGTATAGAATTTAGAATATTTATAAACCAGAGGTTTTAACAAAATTTGGAACCAAATGCACACAACAGGATGCACATTTGCAAATTATAGTTTGCATGCTTTTTTTTTTGCAAGTGAATTGGTCATT